GACAGCAGGCCACACCTAACCGAGTCACTGCGTCGGGAAGTGACTCACACACACTGACCTACATGTGTGGAACATGTGTGCAAGTCAGCATGAGAAGCGATTATGTGAATGGAGGTGAGGGGTGGAGGCACCTTAAAAAAAAAAAAGCCTAGGATTTAATCTTTGGTATAAGGACTGCATAAACTGTTCAAATGCTTGTTTTCTGTTGGCTGTGTATGAGGAACACAGAAACTGTGCATATAAAGGCTGTGTCTAAATCAGGGGGGGTCCAATATTGCTCCTGGAAGGCCACTGTCCTGCACGGTTTAGCTCCAAACTCAATTAAACACACCTGAACCAGATAATCAAAGTCTTACTAACTAAGCGTACTGTAATCTTTCAGGCAGTCGTGACTCGTGTTGAGGCAAGGAGGAGATAAATTCAGGACAGTAGCATTTCAGGAGCAGGTTTGGACACCACTGATTAAAATGGTTGAATATATGCAAAGAGATCAATTCGTTTCATCATGCAACACCAATTAAGAGACTACTCACAATGCAGTATAGATGTATAATAAATTATTATTATTATTATTATTTTTAAAACAGAAGTCAGAATGAAAAATTATGGAGACATTGATTACATGAATCTGTAAGTTTCTACCCCTGTAAAGCTGTGCTCACATTAGAAATAAGCTGGGATGCACCGAAATGAGAATTCTGGGCCGAAAGCGAAACTTCTGGATGCACTTGGTTGGAAAAACAATTTTTTTAGAACTTTTAAAAAGCATTTAATTAAATAAATGTGTTACATTTAATAAATTACTATTAAATATCAATATATTTTTCATTCAGTTCTATGCAACAGAATCAAATTAAACAGATTTCTTTTGACCAATTAAGTTCCTACAAAGCCATATTTGAATTGGAATGAAATGGATGTTGAAGTTTTTTCTTCCCTTTTGTGACTTATATCAGAGTGAATATTTCTCAAAAAAAGGATTACCAGATTATCCAGCTCTCTCGCCAGTTAAACACATCATCAGAGAAGAGATGTCACACTACTTTAAAAATAATAATGGTGTGCTGTGCATGGATAAATAATTTATAATAAATATACACAACATTCCATTTCCTCTGACTGGCCAATCTGGTCTCCCTGGCTTTAACACTCCCACTTTATCAACATGGGGAAAAACATCTAACCAGAATGTTGGAGGAAAAGCAGTACAATTACACCTGCAAGTAATGCTGAGACCATTAGTATTAGGAAATAGACTAAAATGATTTCCAAATAGAGCTCACTATTACCAATGTCATAAAATAATTAATCACTGTGACCTTTATCATACAGGTAATGTGGTAGTAATGTTTTGTCCTGTAGACATGACAGGCGTTTCTATGTCTCTCTGTTCAGGAAGTAGTAAATCACATATGAAATATCCTTCCAGCATTGAAACAAATCCATACTAGTCTTTCTAACGTAAAAACGGAAAGCCTAGGGGGGAAATGTACGTGCAGAAATCTCATCGATTAATAATAAATTTAGCTGGGGTTTGAGAACTGCTTTATTATAAAGGGCAAAGTAAGGGCAAGGCTATTTGCGGACCTCCTTCCCGATTTGAACTAACGTTAGCCGCAGGAAACACGCATGGTGGTCAAACGTAACACGTCTTGACAAAACCAGACAAAGTTAACTTACAGCACGACCTATGGTTAAATTTAAAGCAATACAGTGACAAAATATCAGCAAAAAAGATCTGTTTGAGACAGGCTCTCTAGCACTGACTGTGAGGCTGCACTCATGGCAGTCTGCGGAAGCTAAGCGCACACAACACTGGTCAATTAAAGCTACACTGTAGATGAGGCTGTAAAGCTGCTGACTCGAGCTCTTGTCACGCTATTGCAGACCTCAGGCTGTGGCTGAGTCTCTCTGACGGCGTGACATTAGAACAGGCCGGTAGTCCCAGCTCTGAGTGATTCGGCTAATGCGAGCTAATGCGCTAGCACAAAGTAGAAAGCAGGCAAATTAACAACTCCGCAGCTGATATGTGCGTAATATATGATTCGTGGGAGAACACTGACTTACCTGTCTAAATGAGTGGAGTGGAGTTATTCAAGTACGCCTGCTGAAGTTATTCCCAGCGCTGAGCCAATGTGGAGGGTCTGGCCAGTTGGAGGGCGAAATGAAGGAGACTGTAATGTAACACACCCGTGCCGAAAGCCTCCTGCTCAAAGGACCCCAGGCTGTCTCATCGGTGCCTGACGGTAAATGTCAACAGCCAAGAAAAGATGTGACTTGTACTGTATCATTTATATTATTGAGCATTGCTTGTTTGACATTTGAACAAAATTACCCTTAAACATTTGTTGTTGTTATTATTATTATTCAGTAGAATAAAATCCTTGAGAATACTGAACATTACGTTTTGATAACATAAGCAAACCGGTATTAAAAGTAATAATGAGATTTATTTTTATTTCAGTTTTAGTCATTCTAGTTCTGTAATACTTAACTAAGTTAGGGTGGATGGGGTAAAACCTCAGTAGTGGGACGGCCGAATCGTTTTACAGCTAAATTAGCAAATGTTGCATCATTATCACCACATCTTATTTAGGCTACACATTTTAAAAGTAAATGCACATTGCATCTTCCCTTATGTTAATTGTTAAGACAATTTTGTTTGAGTTAAAAATGTAATAAAACTTCAAATAAGTTTAAATAAATAAAATGTAATTTTATAAAATCTAATATGTATACTTTGTTTCAGCTTTATTTTAATTAACTTACCTATTTTTTATTTCACTTTATTAGTCAGTGCTTGATAGCACAGCTTTCTGGCTTTCATTTCAGTGAAGGTAAAAAACGAAAGTGTGGAAATTCGTGGAAATGATTGTTAAACTTGAGTTACAAATCTGATTCTTGAAGCTATAAACATTGCTATTTAGCTTAATATATTAGCTATTTTAAATAGAGAACATGTTGCCATTTACTCTGCTAGAATAATAGGGGTTTCTTTGTGTTTCCAAAGAGTTTGAGTGTCATTTCACTTCACTTTCAAGTAAGTTGGATTGAAGAGCTTGATGATGACTCACGAGCACGAGCAGGAGCAATGCATTCACTGGCCTATTGGGGGTGCTAAAGCATCTCTCATAAAACTTAAAAAAAAAACATGGATGGGGGGGGGGGGGGGCGCTACTTTCAGCTAGTTTGTATTATGTTGAGATGTTTTACACGATATTGCTTCATCTAGTTATTAATAAAATGACACACAATACCTGAAAGCGCTAAAATGCTATTGTATTTTGTTGTATTCATGCGTGAATTAGGACTACTATTTTGTGTTATGTAATGAGTGGAGAACGGAAGTAAAGAAGACGGATCATTAATATGTACATTCTGTATGCAACTGTATAGCCTACTATAAAATTTCTCTGGTTAATAAAAAAGTAGGCTTAACAAGACGGCTCTCAATTTATCTAAATGTGAAATGATTTGTTAATACCACACGTAGAATGAATGAGATTTAGAATATTCCAAGTAAAAGTACTTGGGTTATTTCATCAATATTTTTTTTATTAGTAGATGGCACCTGATTTTTTTCACCTCACATATCCAAAAAAAAAAAAAAAAAAAAATTTAATAGTTGGCTTCAAAGAGATTTTTTTTTTTATCCAAGACGCATTGTAAAAATCTTGATAAATAAACATAAAATTGAAGAAAAACTGAAGATTCTATGTGGTATTTTATCCCTGATAACATGATAGGGTAGGTGGCCTTTCTTTTTCTTTTTATTTATTTATTTAATTAATTGTTTTTGATGAAATGCAATTATTACTCCACTTGTAAATTACCAATTATATTGGTTCTACAAAACATTGCACATTGAAGTTTTAAAGGTTAGAAGGCCACATATTATATAAAATCATAATAAAGTGCCACACAATTTTGAGCAGCAAATGATAACCTCACTAATTTAAATATGACATCCAAATCTACATCCGAGTATTTTAACATTAATCCACACAACAGATGGATTTCATTTGGAATTTGGTTGTCTCTTTTGACACCAACTAAACCATTTGATTCCATATGGACTGTGGTGTTAAAAATAAATAAATAAATAAATAAATAAATAAATAAATAAATTATGTTTGAAAAGTACTAATTGTCTGCATGAGTTCTTGGTCCCCGATGACTGCCAGATTTATCACTGTGTAACTGTGTTTTTGTAAACCTTCATTTGAAAGGTGATTCTTAATGCTCAACATAGAGCAAAATAATAAATGACCTTTAACTTATTTGTTATAGTGCAGCTTTGCATTAGTTATGCGAATGTAGAAGAGGCAGATTTGACAAAAAATTTGACTCAAAGCATTGAGCATCCTGTTCATATTATAACAGTACTTAGTGCTGATTTAGTCCTGTTTAAATGTTAGTTTGTTAAAAATGTGTAATATAAATAGGTGTAAATGATATGCAATTCAGATATAGGCATAATTATTTTAAGTGAATATTATTAAGACGCTATTAGATCAACGCTAGAAGGGTTGGATGTAAGGTCAGTTTTCAGTGGCGGTTTTATGAAATGAATTTTATTTTCTTCACGTGAATTTTGAAGGAGCATTTGGAAGTTTTACGGTAAGGCACATTATGTTTATATATACATTTCACACCAAACTTTATTTGAAAATGTCTTATGTAACTTAAATTCACAGTATTCTGTGTCCTGCCAAAGGGGGCGCTAAAGACAAAAGCATGGAGCTAACAGGATTTTATATGTAAGCTGATTGAACCTTATGACCCCTGGGCTTATATCCACTCATATGACTCATGCACAGTGAATGATAATTCAATGCTTCATATTAAATTGCTGGTAAAAAAAGGACTTTGCACTGTTATGACAATTAACTTAAATTAGTATGTCAATGTAATTACAAAATGACATAAGAACTTCTAACAGCAGAGAAAACAAAACTCACGAGTCAGTGACAAATAAAACCGATTAGTTCGACATTGGCTAATTTAAGATTTCTTTTATTGCTCCACTCAGTCTCCCTTAAAAACACAGCACAAATGTAGTCACTCATATCTCAGCGAAGGAACTAAAATCATCCGGATAAAGGTGGTAATACTGAGGAGAAAAAAGAGAAACATACATAAAATACAAAACTATACATGTAAATTACAGCCTTTCCAGTTTCACAAAACCAGTATTTATCCACTGAGAAAGCCACAAAGTGAAATTGATCAAATCCACCGATGTTATCTAGTTGACACAGTGCTTATAAAAGGCCTTGACGACACGTATAAATGAGAGTTTCATTGAATTTTCCGATGGGAAATAATTTTCAACATATCCAGGCATTTTTCAGACCTTTAATCACTGTTATTACAGTCATTTAAAAAATAAAACAAAAAACATCTTATACAACACAAGGCTGGTGAAAAATTCTACATTTCCTTTATTTGGTTGTTTTTTTTTTAATCCTCAAAAATGCTTAGAGAAACTATTTACGACTAGAGAAAAATTACAAGGAGATGCAAGAAACAGTCATGTTTTTCATGTTCAAGCCAATTCAGTAGTAATGCACTGCAAGTTTGATGCACTGAACACTTTGAAACAAAACGAATAATGACTGCGCTTTAAAACACGTCCATCAAAATATGAAGCAGTGCTAAAAAGAGATTTTGGAAAAATGTGCATCTATTAAGGTGTTTCCACCACTAGCTAGTAAAAGGAGCCAGCTCCCGTTGTTTTACAAATATGCTATCAAAGAAACAAAACTAGTTTTCCACTGAATCTTGAGAAAATGTCAAATATCTCTCAGCTATGGGGATTTAATTAAGGATTTACACGAGGAGGCCTGGCAAACCATTTAAGTGCCGAGCCCAACGACAGTAGTTTTATTCTAAATATTTTCATATATCGAGTTAACAGGGTTGCATTAATTCATTGTTGTAGTGCACATTATGCTTGGTCGCACACAGACAGACCCAACTTAGGAAGATGAGCTTCACAAAAAGATAGACTTGATAAGGAATACAAAAGCTATGCAATTAGCACTGTGAACATATTTTATTGGTCAAACGGCACAGAGCCAGTCAGAAGAGTCAGAAAAAAGAAAGAAAATGTGCATTGTCTGTGCAGTAGCTCTAGATGGCAGACGTATCCTATACCTTGTGAACATATCAGATCATGAAATTATTCATTCCCAATAGAGTTTATAAGAAGCGCCGCCCATGTACGTGATCACTGCCAAGGACGTCAATCAAAGTCGTGTGTTCAGGTCGCTAAAAAAAAGCATTATGTTAGAATGAGGGCCAAAACTAACATGGCTATTTTCCAACATTTAAAGCCATTGAAAAGCTATACAATATTCAGAATAAATATAGAACCTGAAAAAAACACCTATGGGAAATTTGCTATGATTGTTTTTCAAACCAAAACAAGCAGAACGTTTTAACAGTCCTGCTAAGTAGTTCATGTCATCATTGCTAAAACACCATTTCTGTTATTCAAGTTAAAAATAAACTCCGAAGAGGTGCAGGAATGCCAGAAGCGGGCAGATATTTGATGATCCATTTCTTGAAAGAAAAGAGAAATGAAATTAAATGAATCGAAAAACTTTATTATTTAATTACCTTCCAAGTTTCCCGCCGGTCAAATTCCCAATGAAGGTAAATCTCTTTCATGATTCAAGATGCTACAATTGAGTTCATTTCCCTCAGGGAGAGATTTGAATTCTTTACATTCGCGACATACACTACATTAAGGCCTGATTTACTAAAGTCTTTCACTGATGCACTCAAGTCTCCAGCAAATGCAAAAAACAGCAGCACAGACAGTGACTAGTCACAGTATGGTATCATTTTTGCACAAGCTAAGAACCGTAGCGTCGCACTTTAGTAAATCTAGCCCTTGATCGGATAAATACCGTAATCAAACGAACCAGATCGTTTCCTTATCAGCTGATAATGTCGTGTAAATTTCACAATGACTGAATTCATAAAGATGAAATAGTTTTCTAAAGAAGATACATAACAATACATAAATGTTCCCTCATTGCTCCTTTTTTTTTTTTGTTCCATCCGAGCGGGTCTGTGGAGATACAAATGCAACTATAAAATGTGAGATGTGTCGCCCACAAAACTTCAAGTTTGTTTTAATGTCTTATCCAGGTAGAAAGTAACTGAATATATTATTAAAACAGGGGTCTTTAGGACGGGGAAATAAAAAGTGCTTATATGCGTCGACTCCATCAGAACCAGACGGAGACGCGTCCACACGTGGATTTCAACTCTTGTACGACAGCAGTACAATGGCAGTGGTTGGAATGATCCGAGATCTAGAGCACACCGATTCGTTATGGTTAGCCAACAACTTACAGGAACAGATCGGACAAACGAACGAAGAGAAAATAACATCTAAACGACAAAACAAGTCCAGTCTCAGTCCTCTTGCCCAGTGCTGTGTGGCATCCACGTGTCCCGGAGCATGCGACGCCCCCAGCCGGTCCTCTAAGGGGGGGAGTTGGGGAGGGTATATGTGGGGCAAGAGCGATCACACGTGCAGGATCTCCATACTGTAGTCCTCTGTCTCTGTGTACTGGGAAGAGTTTGTGTCCGAATGCGCCGGCCCGAGCGCCTCTTTATTCTCCAAGTTGGGCTCCAGGACAGAGGGCTTCTCAAAAACACTCTTTTTACAGGTCTCTGGGCGGTTCTGCACATATATTACTCTGTTGTAGGCCTTGAGTCTCTTCCACAACTGGATGTAGACCTTGCATTGCACGTACATGAACACCAGTCCGCCAGTGAAGCCTATGGCCACCACCACCAGCTTGGTCCAAAAAGGCCATTGCAATAGTCCTGTGCGATAAACGAAAGGGAGAAATCAATTGAGTAAATCGCTGGAAGTATGTCACACACATTTCAATGCTTATTTTCCATTCTGATATGAATATCTGCTTACATTACAAGGATCAAACATAAGGGTCAGTGACAAATACGAACGACCGTGATGAAGAAATTTGATTTTTTGATTTCAGTTTTTGGAAATGTGCACTTTATGTGCTTGTCATGTTCATTTCATGGGATTTTAAAAAGCAACTTACAATGTTTTAATAAGTAAAAAGACATTTGGTGTATCTGTCAAGTAAAAATGTATATAATACTATAGATAAATAAAAATAAAAAAAATGAACACATAAAAATAAATAAGTTGAAAATAAATGCAGAAAAAAGTAATACAAAAACAAATTCAGGAACACATTTAATGACATTTTATTTTTAGTTTATCTATCTATCTATAGAATACATTTGGATGTTTACATCTTAAAGCTTATTTTTCTAATGATTTCAATAAATATTAAAGTATATATTTACAAATATTATGAATAATTCATAAATATCTTTCATTTTTATGTCATTATGTCACACCATATTTTTTTAATATGCCTTGTCATAAAAGATATTTTAAGGGACTTGCTGAACTTGACATTGCTCCAAAATATAATTTCCTGCTTTATATATTTTTTTCTGCATGTTAAACCACATGAATTTTGTTGTGTCACATCAAATGACTTTGATTTGGTTGTCAAAGGTTTTTTAAATATTAATAACCAGTTTTGTTGAAACTTTTTTCTTTCCTATGAATTAAGTTATTTTATCAAACCACTTTTCTTTTACTTTAAGGTTTCTTTTCAAGACTTTCATTCTTTTAATGAGGCTTTTACTTCATTATTTCAGGACGATCCATCTTGATACCCCCCCCCCCCCCCCAAAAAAAAAAATGTAACATTTAATTTTCAACATTTAAAAATGTTTTTTTTTTTTTTTTAATCCCCATCATAGAGGTTTATTCAGGTAGTTGTGCGTATGAATTGCATTTTTAATGTAATTCTGAATAAATTAAAAGACCTTTCCTGGATAAAAACAAAACCAAAAAAATCTCATTGACCCATATGCACCAATCCGAACACAAGATTGCATTAATACATTCTCCTACAGCAATATTGTACAAACTATGTGCATATGAACTGATTCTGGATTACAAGATCTAAAATATGCATCAAGCACAACACTGGGGCAAACACAGGAGCAGGGATGCAAAGACAGGCGGCTGGAGTCCTGATATCCCACCCAAGCTTCTAAAGAGCCAGAAATGGACACAGGGCTATAAGACTCAGAATGCAAATACAGCATTTTCACCCTTGACCATTTTACCAAAATCATTAGAAATGTCTGAGAAAGTGAGACCAGGAGCAAAGCCATTTCAGGTGTTTCTCAGTCCACCTTTAGTGGAAATAAATTCCGCCAACCTTTGAGTTGTTTACAGGTGCTTTCCTCTCTAGAAAGAAGCGTTTGGAAATGTCAGGAAAGATCAAGTGTGAGGGAATTGCCATGTGCTACTACAGTACATCTCTAAATGCTACGGTCTGTTCAAGCACGAGGCTTTTGGACAAGGAATACTGTACTGCTTTCGGAGGCTCCGTAAGTCAGGCCGGGGTGCAGCTTTAGTCCACCTGACATGATTATCAAAAGGCAAAGGGGGAAAAAACTAGGTTAGTGCCGCACTTACGGGACAGTTTTTGGCATTTTTGCCAACCTGCTTGCATTTCTACTGATAGAAGTGGCCTTTTCAAAATCAATATCTTGTGTATTACAATATAGCTGATTATATACAAAGGACCGGTTTGATTGGTCCATCTCATTCATTACACTGACAACTACACATTTGCCTGAGCAATATCAGAGGAGAGCAGATCGATGCAGATTTATGTCAGTTTCGAATTCGATTAAAAACACGCCACGGTCCATTCAAATGCAGCGCTCGCCTCTTTGTTCCACGCATTACCTCCACAGCCATGCACAATTGCTTTCTCTTTAATTTCTTTGTGCCTGAATATATCCAGAAAATAGATTTAAGGGGGAAAAAAAGAGGTCAGGCTGTGATAAGTGGCCATCAAGCCTGAAATTGTCTTTGTCCAGCATATTCACATCTGACAGTGTGGGGCAGGCGTGCACACTGCGTTCGGAGCGTGTTCTCGCTGTGAAGCATTATTGCCAGCATTCATGCTAGAGATGGCTGGTGTAGCTGGGGGAGGGAGAGAGGAACCTTCAAAGAAATAATTACAGTTGGAGGAAAGAGTTAGGAGGAAAGAACGGTAAATGTAAAAGCGTTTACCTGGTATTCTCCCCGCTGCATGGTTAAAAAGAGTTTGTTACTATTTCACTATTGGCAAAAGGTGAAGCCACTGATAGGGGGTGGAGGGTCAGGGGTGCAGGCGGATGAGAATCATATCTTAAGATAACTGCTGGTTACGAATGGGAAAAGATGAGGAATGACATGGGGAAACATTCAGGTGTGTGCATGCACTGCCTATTGACTCTGCTCAAGCCTTACCATGCATGATGAAGAAAAGTCAATGGCGTAACCATGGTAACCGTGATCAAAGATCTCCCTCGAAGCTACAGTTCTTGTACAATGAGGCGCGTGTGAATGGGTTCTTAATGTTAGGGAGCAAATCAGTAAAGTGCCTGCTGTCAGACACCCATCAGCGTACGGGTCGAGGATAGTGCGGTAAAAGGATTGGCGTGTTTTAGTCAATCACACGCTTGCATCCCAGCTCAAATCCAATATGGAAATAAAAACCATTGCCGGCATATATTTTCCGGAGACATCCGGTCCTTGCGCTCCACAGCTCTCTAATGGTATCGATTCAGTGGAGTTTGAGGGATGACCTGGGAGTAAATCTACTCTATTATTAGTGTACTAGTCTCCCATGTAGACTAAAGGAGTAGTTCACTTAAAAAAAAAAAAAAAAACTTTTGCTGATAATTTACCCACCCCCATGTCATCCAAGATATACAGGTCTTTCTTTCTTCAGTCGAAAAGAAATTAAGGTTTTTGATGAAAACATTCCAGGATTTTTTTATTATGGACTGCAATGGGAACCAAACGGTTCAAGGTCCAAAAGACAGTTTGAGTGCAAACTGTTCAAAGGGCTTTAAACGATTACCTCATGTAACCACAGCCAGCGTCCGCGGCCTCAGATCACTTGGACGTGGCTGTGGTTACAAGAGGTAAAAACGATATAAATACTGTTTGTTTTATCACACAAACTGCTTGTTTCGTGTCTCAGGCCATCAATGTGTACTTACATTTACGAGTCATTAAATCAAGTTTAATTTGGACGTCTCTGTGCATGCTCTTTGAGGTGGACCCCATAGACCTCCATTATATGACTGACAGACACGAACGGTTCGCCTAAAAATGTCAAAATTGAAAATACAGCGGAAACAAAGACACCTACATCTTGGATGGCCTTGAGGTAAGCTAAAACATCAAAAATTAATTTCAAAGAGAACAACTTGTTTTTCAGTTGTTAAACAAGTACACTTTAACTACAAAGAACAACTTTCTTGGTATGTTTAGCACTTAAACTTGAAAAAAAAGTTGTGCTTTAAATTGTTTACCTTTATTTGTAACTTTTCTGTGGTCTAATTGGATAGTTAAGTGTACATTATCCATGTATTGTTCACCAACTGCATATTTACATGTATTTAACGTATTTCTCTTAGAATACTTTATTGTGGGGAAGTATAGATCGGAAGTTTCCTAAAATCAGCCCATCAGATTAGAGTTTTCCAGTTGTGTGTCTGAGGGTACCCTTACATGACAAAGTACTAAAAACAGAAAAGTTTTTCCTTTGCATTTTTTGCATACAGATAGGGTTGGGTATCAAGAATCGAGTATCGATTGGAACCGGGACTTTTAGTTTTTCCCGGAATCGTTCAAAAGTTAAAATTTCAATTCCTAGTTTCGATATTCACAGTCCGCCGAGCGAAAGAAGAAACCGCTGAACAACACCAACGAAGAAGCGTCTACCGGAAGTGATGGCATAACCACGCGAGTCGAACATGAGTAGCTTACGTCGGCGGTCCAAAGTGTGGCTTCACTTTTCTAAAAATTAAAAAAATCTCGGCAAAATGCTAAATTTGTGACAAGTATTTGTGACAGAATGAGTATTTCCTTCAGAAAGACCGTTAGTTAGCAAGGTTAGCTAAACTTTTTTGACCCTGCCTCTTAAAAGAATCGAAATCGAGAATCGTTAGGAACCGGAATCGAAACAAGGAATCGGAATCAGAATCGTTCAAATTCAAACGATACCCAACCCTACATACAGACGACAACGTTGTCAAAACTATCCTCATTCACACGGATACGTGAAAGCGATTAAAAGCGCTGTATTATGCTGACAGGCCAGTAGTTGGCGACGTCACTTTGTAAAGAAACACTACAAGCCTATAGGCTGAACGTAACACGCATGCGAATGCCACCACCGTTTTCACAAATTCACGTTTTTGTAGTTTACACAGAGATAATAACGGTATCATTTTCAAAAAGTTGCACCTTGAAACCCGTTTTGAAAAGTTTGTGTTTTCAGGCTCCCAAAACGCTATTGTCGTGTAAATGAAATGAATGGCCAAAAGGCATAAAAGTTTTCTCTTTTTAGTTGAAGACTGTGTCGTGTAAACAGCCCCTAATATGTATTGAATGATCAATAAAAGAATCGTGCCCAAGCTGTTAATATGCCATCTGAGAATGAGACACCCATATTAAGTTACCCGTATCTCAAAGAACGGATAAACCATCTGCATATAGGTAATGAATACATCAAGATATGCATCACTGAATACAACAATAGCTGTCAGTCAGAGGAATGTGATTGTTCCGTAAGCAACAGAACAATCCGGGGGGAACGCAAGGACAGCTGTATGGTACGGAGGGGGGAAGCAGGCAGACGGTGCTGGATGAGGAAGTGAGAGGTAGAGTAGTGTTTAATTGGCTGGTGAATGGTGGGTGTGGCTAACCTAG